TTAATATTCAGATTTTTTATGTAAAAATACTTTACTGTACTTATTAAATATGAGTTCTGTCATTTGGAATAAAAACAGTTTTAAGTTTTGTTCCGGGACAAAAAGAACTTCTCCTCCAGTCAGACGGGGATGTTGGCCGCCGCCAGGTGGCGCTCGGGCTCTCTGTGGCCCCGGTGTTTTGAAGCTCCCTCCCCGCCGGAGCTGACCTGGTTCCCGGCGATGACAGTTTCCTGCGGCCCGGTGGAGCCGCTGGTGGCCGCGGCAGGATGTGCAGAAGGAGGGCGGGCTGTCACACTCTCGGCTCGGTATGTGAAGACTCGGCTGGCGGAGTGAATCTCTCTTAATTCTGCCGGAGGAGCGGATGTGGCAGGCGGACAGCGGTGAGTGTCGGAGCCGCTTGGGGCGGAGAAGTTGGTGTTTTGTCGCCGGAGTTTGGTTCCGGTGAAGCGGCCGAAGTCGAACCATCGATACGTGTCACTTTGGCAAGAACGTCACGCCAGGCTCTGTTGGAAAATCTGCCACTTCGACCTTGCGCCGCGTAAAGGGAATATTTCACGCCACGGAAGCCACGAACTAATGCATATTCCGGGTTCAACCGTCGATGGGTTTTAATTCGGCGTTTTTACAACCGCACCAAACATCACGCATTTCAGTAAAAACATCAACTTTAACAACCGTCCCGCACTTGTTGACAAGCGCCGTCGTGGTCGCCGGGGGTTGCGGGGCCAACGGCTGAGGCAGTTTTCAAAGTGAAAATGTTACCGTTAAAATTACGTGTAGCTGTTTTGGAAATGTGCCGAATTCAAGAGTGAAACGTCCAGATTAGTTCTGATCCATTCCTCCCACCACGCGCCGCTTCCTGTTTTCACGGGACTCAAGGTAACAAGAAGTGGAGGATTTTGCAACCGAGCTTTGTGTGAGGTCCTCTCCCCAGCTCAGCCTGCAGCCTGTGTGGATATATAAAGTAAACACATCAACGTTAGCAGCTAATGTTCAGTTTACCTTCCAGCTGCTGGTGTGAACTAACCCTGGATCAATGTGTTCAGAGATCACTGCTGGAATATCTGCTGTCTTCCGATAAACAGGATTAATGTGAAGATTTGCTGTGATTTCAAATGTCAATCAAGTTGTTTTTAATCAGGTTACTAATCACAGCAGAAAAAAACCAACCCTGGTTTATTCTGTTGGAGTCTTAACGACGGATAAACACAGATTTCTCAACAGCAGGAGTCAAAGTGAATGTTTCTGCTTCTTGTGCTGAAGCTCTCTTTGGTCATTCCTGATATTTTGAGTTCAAAACAACGCAAGGCCCCGTGACCTTGACCTCTCGACCGCCAAAATGTGATCAGTTCGTCTTTGATTTGTCCCAAATTAGACGACCTCCCCTCAAACCGAGTTAAAGACATCGCACAAAAATATAGACATAGTTTGTGAGGCCACGGTGACATGTGACCTTTGACCATTAGCTACCGAAACCAAGTGAGTTAATCCTTGAGTGCGAGTGAATGCTTGTGCGGAATGTCAAAGGATTCCTTGTCTGTCGTTCCAGAGAGGACATGAGTAACAGCATGGAGGGTTCGGCGGGACCAGGCGTCAGGGCGAACGGACCCGTGGCAGCGCCCAGCAGCCCGGTGAGCTCCACCATGGGGCCGCCTCGGTCTCCACAAGAGCTGGAAGACGAGCAGCAGTCGTCGCTGACGGACGTCACCCAGATGTGGATTAAGTTTGCCAAGACCTTTGCGCTCATCTTCCCCATCTACATCCTGGGATACTTTGAGTTCAGTTTCAGCTGGGTACTGATCGGACTGGCCGCGTTATTCTATTGGAGGAAGAACCACGGCAGTCAGGACTACAGGATAAACCGTGCCTTAGCCTTCCTGGAACACGAGGAGAAAGCAATAAAGCAAAGCGTGCCTACGACTGAGCTGCCACCGTGGGTGAGTCCACCCTCGTTATTACTTTCACACGCCGGTTGTCACAGTCGCTTTGTAATTTGACTCTGTTTAAAGCTCCGCCTTTCAAGCTTACATCAAATATGGGATGTCAACACTGACCGGTTGCCTGCCAGACGGACTGAGAGGGATAATTCAATTAGCTGCCATGTCTGCCCACTGACGAAACAAATACTTTTTCCACGGGAAACTCCAGACCAGCACTGGTCTTATTCCAGACTGCTGCATGAGTTAGCCGACAGTAGCAAAGGGTATGAGCCTTTCACAGACATATCAGCGTTTGTGTTTGCCGATATCGGCCAATGTCAAAAATGCAGGAAACGTGTGCATTTATGTTTCTTTCCTTAAAGCGACACAATGCCAGCTCAGCTATACTCAGGCTCCCCCTACAGGTGGGATGGGTAATTCACAGAGCCTATTTATTGACCAGCTGACGGAGAACCATTTTCTTTGGCGGCTCCGTCGTGATGTCCACACAGGGTTTGGTGAGCTTGTTGTCTCTTATTGTCAGCTGGTTCTGGTTGTTGGTGTGCCAGCGCAGTACTCCAGAGGTACATAGTTTAGTTCCAGGCCTCTAGGGGGCGCTGTGGCAATGCCAGGCATCCCAAGTGAGTGTACTGTCAAAATGATTTTCAAGCTTTAAGTATAAAAGCTGCCTTGTGCTGCTTTATTTCAGGCTCTACAGATTTTGTTTATTGGCTGATATATCAGCATCAGTGTTTACCTGCAGTGGGAACTTTAGCTTCACTGTCATACGTGTCTTAAGACTTCCCAGTTAGTCTCACGGGATTTTAAATTGGTGACTAACGCTCACTTTTTCATATGAGTCACGAACGAAGGAATGTTTGGAAGCTGCCAACAAACGGAGAAAATGAATAGCTGATGGAAGATGGCCAGCAATGTGGGACCCAGCAGTTTTCCCTTATGTCACAAAACATACTCAAACCAAACTTGGTTGCTTGTACATTAGGGTTTCGTGCCGTGAACAGCCTTTGACACATTCTGCCCTGAGCTCGACTCTTTATCATGGTTTCGATCCCGTCCTCTGCCGGAGGGCGTAGCAGTCCTCGGTGAATAATTTACACATGGCCCTGGCGCTCCCAGGCCTCCATAGGCTGGCACTGTAAAGCAGCAGAGTCATCGAACCTGTTCTGATTTTCACTTTCTGTATTCACCCCGTTGTTGTGGCGTGGTTCTCCACGGCGTGGAGACGGAGAAGAAGGCAGACTGTCCACATACCTTCCACATACTGAAGCTGCCAGTCGACTCAATCAAACATCTGAGAATTAATCTGTTTCCCACAGAAGTGGGGGGGGGGGCACATATCCACTATGTCAATGCCCACAGAGGTTGTGTGATTGTCGACCGACACTTCTCGCGGTGGTCTGGGAGGCGTAGTGTGAGGAGAGGTTGTTAATCGATCGCAGGTGGCGCCATCTTTAATAATTGATCAAATGTGGCGGCCATTAACATACAGAGGCAGCGTGGCCCGTGCATTAATATTCTTATTAAAGAGAAGAATATTCCTAAAGCTTTTTTAGCAGCAGTGACGATCATTGCAGCATTTTCGATGGATTGATTGATTAAGGATTAGCTTAAGCTCAGTCAGTCACCATGTATTCGTGTTGTTTGTGTTCCACTTTCAGACACAACACAAATCTTCATTTTTCTCCATTTCTAGTCTTGTGAGATTCACACAGAAACTCACTGCCTCTGTAATAAAAATGAAAGGCCTCTGTTCTGCAGTGACATTTTCATGTAATCGACGATGATGCAGGAAAAGTGGTGAGAGGATGGCAGGACGCCAGCCAGACACAGCCCCCACCCATCGCAGATCATCCCATCAACACATCCATTATCACACAGACCTTGAGAGAAGTGGTGCTCAGCAACAACTCAGCAAAAAGCAAAAAGAGACAGCAGCTGCCACGTTCGTCGTGACGGGAGTCGGTCGAGGCTTTTGTGTTGGATGTTTCACAGATGTTTTAATCCTCAGACAACGAGACTCGTGGCATTTGGATGTGACAGTGCTAATAGACAGCTCTTTGTCTGGCTGATTAAAGGGAAATTGAGAAATCGGTGAAAGGAAGTCAAAGGATTAATGTGTTCTTCTGATAATGAGCAACTCTGCCGAACAATCAGCAGTGAACTTTGACTCCTGGGAAATATTCAGATGCTGTCGGTGTGTCCCCCGTCCTTCATACGAGCCTCAAAACTCAACGACTGGAAGCTCACTGAAAGTCCCTGAGCTTTTTCTGTTCTTTAACTAAATGTAAAACCACCACATCTAGTTTCTGGCTGACACGGCAGTGACTTTGAATATTTAGTCCAAACATTATTAAAAACAAGTTGTTTGAGCCAAAGGAAATAAGAAATCCCGTTGTCTTCACTGCTCTAAAAACAGTAGTTGCCAATGCCTGACCGAGCATCGTCAGCCGTCATGGAGACATTTGAGATGTTGGGACCATCATCGAAACATCTTAAAGACTTTTTGATTGATTCCTTGATTAAGGACTAATTTGTTTCTGAACAACTTTAGACATTCAGTTCACGACAGATTAAATGCCCCTCAAAGTCAGAAGGTACAATGAAAGGGATGGGAACTGATAAGATTCTTGTTGATACAACTGGTGGTTGGTTTTACCGAAACACAACTGAACGCTGGGTACTACCCAAGATATTTTTATAAAGTTTCCTGCTGAACATTGGAGATAAACTCTGGCTAATAACCTCTCAGTGTTCTGAACTGATCACAGTTCAGCTTCACTCCTCAACTGTCTGGAGCTGATGGAGACAGTTGAAGCTGTGACTCTCAGGAGATCGAACCCACTCACCGGAGGAAACCTTCTCCGTGTTCGCAGTGTGATGTCTGAAGCTGCTTCGAGTAAACAAGTCAGACAAGTGTTTTCAGATTGAAGATTCACCGTTAGTGGCAGGCACAGTGAAATGTCAATTGTGGTAAAAACCCTGTCAACGGGTAAAATCCCCAAATGAACCACACGTGCATTATACTCCTCACTGATTTCAGAGCCTGTGTTCTGTCTTGGCTCTCTCTGCAAATATGCCTGGAATGAGGCTTGACCGGCGGTGTGGGCAGCAGCTCATCGTTCACAGGCCAAGAATCCCAGCGGTAATGGTACAGTTGTATTTCTGAGGACAAACTGACACTGCACAACCCCCTCGCTGCTGCCAGACACAAACAAACCTGCACCAGTGAGTGAAGGCTTTCTCAGGAAAAAAGATTGTGTTGTTTGTCTCACTGCGTATTCAGAGGTGTATACTGAATTTAACGAGGAACTGTCTCCTCCGTGAGTCACGACAATAACCATGACAACTCTGTAGAATAAACAGGAGCGTGTATCTTCCAGCAAAGATACGTCTCAGATGTGTCACAGAAGTTTGAATCCTTTTTATTTATGTTCTTTTTTTTAAGCATTGTACAAGGTCAAACGTTTGTTTGTGGTTTATATTGACGTCATATGTTTGGTGTTATTACCAGACCACTTCTGCGTTTGTTGGGTCAGTGAGATGTAATGAAAACGAGGTGCTGCAGGATTCAGGCCACAGTATTTCATAGTAAAAGTTGCACAGAAAGCTCTACAGTGTCCTGCAGAGTTGGTTCCTTTTGTTTCAGGGTTAAGAGACGACGAGGCCTCTTTTTTTGGGGGAAATTTGCTTTTAATTTGTAAACTCGTGTTTTCCTGATTAATTCAGTCAGAGACGGGCAGAAACTCGTAAAATCTATAATTATTAATGGAGAAAGGAGAATGTCTGTAACCGCTGGCAGCCACCACTTTGTATAATGTGAGGAAAATATGTAATAAGTAGCCGATCGTGTGTTTTAAACTGACGCAGATGAACAGGAAGAGGGTGAAACAGTACAGACGTTGCAGTTGACGCAGTAATACGACAATGAAATACTAATATTTATCACATATTGTTCATGGATTGTCAACCTTCATTCAGGAGTAAGAATCTGTCTTTAAACCTGAATAAAATAATGTGACATTTATCATGACCTTCATCGATATCCACTCATATGAATATTTATACATAGATGGAACAACAGGCTGTATATTCTGAGGCCTCCAGGACTCCTCGACTCCTTCGTTAAAGCAGAGTGGAGCTAATCAGTCGTTCAATCGGCTTTGGATTGTGATTGATTTATCACATTTGATCTAATCAGGATACGTGACAGCGGAGCACACAACAACACAACAGACAAGTTGAAGGTCTTACTGTTATGCAAATCCATGACGTGCCACATGTACACGTTACACAGGGCTGCAGCAATACTCTGTTTATTTATTCCTGTGTGTGAGATTGTGTTTTAGATCATTCAACCAATCCTCCAGTGTAAACAACAGTGACAACTAGAGAAGAAGCCTCTGCCAAGGACCAACTGTCCCCTGATGAAACCACTAGATCTGATTTGATTTCCCCCAAACATGTCTGATTCAGACAGAGATTATTCTCTCTAGGAAATAGTTGAAAATGTTGCAGTGTTAAAAAACACCAACATTTTCACCAATTTCCCAGTGAATAAGGTATCGATCTTGAAATTTGATGCAGATCTTGAACCTTGTTCTATGTTGGCTGAGGTACACGCTCTACCCAAATGCCATTCTAGTTTCTCGATAAGTCGATAAGTTTAAAGTCAAGTCGTCATTGTTGTTTACTTTCAATGAAACTTCTTAAATCTTAATCAAACATTGGTAACTCCCAGTTGTGGTGTTGAGCATTTAACAGGTAAAATGAGAAATATTGACATATGCAGGATATGTGTACATATTTTTCTTCTCTTTCCTCGTCATCGTCTTTTTCTTTATCGTGAATTTGTTTCCTTCAGCTCTCTGTGTCTTTATATAAACTTTTAACTTCCTGCCGCGTCCACACCAGCTTTTGTTTCCTTAAGATATATACTTATCATATTGTATTTTGTTTTTGTTAAATACTTTTTAATGTGCAAAACAAAGTCAGTCAGTGTTAAATGAGCAGTAGCGTCAAGTTATTATTTAGCAGAACTACTAAAGGGAGCAGTATAAGTTCTGGATTCTCTAATTGCTGGCATGTCTGGATCACTGCTGAATGGATTGTGTTGCTGTGTGAGTCGGTGGAGTGTGGTTGTGTAGTTGTGCTGGACAGTTGCTAGGTGTGGATGTGTGTAACTATGAATTTGAAGCAGGAAACGTTGAGTCAAGCTCAGTTCAACCTTTTCCCTCGGCAGCTGAACGTTCAAACAGTCGGACTCTGTCATCAGCCTCTCTCTGATAAAAAAGAGAGACGTGGAAAGTCATTACAACCGCAGCGTAACTGTGTCTCTGAGGTTCCCTCCTCCTCCTCTTCCTCCTCCTCTTCCTCGTCTCTGTGTACTTGTCTGACACGGCATGGGTGGGGCCTCCCTGTTCTTTTGAAGTGCCAAAGGGCAGGGCTCTGCAGCAGGGGAAACAATGTGGAGGAACAGAAAGGCCTTGTGCTGCTTTCACCTTCGCTCTGGAGCAGTTTCCTTGTGGCCCAGAGAAGCGTCCATTACCCTGTCCCACTGTCGTTTGAATATATTTGAATGGTAACGTCTCGTGGTGATCTGAGTTTCTGGAACACATGAGTATCTGTGAGCAAATGGAAAGCCACACAATGCAAGATTTGCCCTCGGCCGCCACAGTCTGGGTAATTCTTCTCCAGGAAGTCACTGCAGTGAAGTCAGAACATTATTGTATAGTAAGAAATCATCGGAGGGTGCCGTCACTGTCACTATGAAGTCAGGAAACAACGACACATGATGTGGTAACGCAAAAACTTTGATCAGAGACAGGATCTACATTAACCAATCAGCACATCAGCCTCATATTGTCTAGTTGACACCATTAAGTGCTCGTTATGAAATGGCTTTACTACAGTGTAGTGACAGTTAGCGATGTCTGGGGTATTTACTGCACACACAGGGAACGCAACACCCCTCCCATGCTCCTCATTTTAGATTTGAACATCTATAAAAACCCACTTTAATAAAATGACAGCTGAAGCTAATACAGCCACGCTGTGGTCGGATGTACAGTCGGATCTTTCTTTATTCTCTAGCACACTGGAGCACAATTCCTCGATGTGCAGTGTGTCCTCCTCACATCCTCGACAGTCTCTCTCTCTCTTTCTTTGAGCCTAAATATAGACGTCAGCACAGCAGCATTGAGCAACTGTCTCGTTGTGTAGGTTTCTTGTTGCTGGGCCTTTCTGCAGTTTGAAGCTGACTGAGCAGCTTTACTTGTGTTTGTTGTCACCTTGAGAAAGAGGATCTCCAAGAACAGTGATGATAAGTGATGACTCCGTTCAACAGACTCGAGGGCCCAATCGGCCCCTGTGTGTATGTTTTACATGCAACATTTTACTTTACACAACAATATGCAAATTGTGTTTCTTCTCATTGTCTTTCTTATCAAACAGTTTATGGTTAAACTGTAAAATATCAAACCTCAATTACATTTCTTTGTTGTAAAGGTTCGATACCAACATCTTTTGAATATTTAGGCCAATTTATCTTTTTTTTTTTTCTACTTCATATTGGTATCGGCACACACACCCTCACACACACACACCCTCACACACACACACACAAACGCACAAACACGCTTTGTCAGGGGTGTGGCTGTAAAAGGGAGGTTAGGATTTCCACTCAGCTGTTACATAGTTGAACTGTGAGTCTCACCCTCCTGACACACACACACACACACACACACACACACTAAAAGGAGGGATGCTCCTGCACCGATCACCGGTTGGTTCCTGTTCTTCTACATGTACACAGAAATCTCTCGTTCTGAACTCGAGGCCCTGCAGGAGCCACATCTTCGCCATGAGTCAGATCCACGTGCTGTTTTTAAAGTTAGGCGGCGTCCAGGCTGAAAACAGAGCTGCAATAAAAAAGAAAAGAAAGCGTGTGTAGTGTTGTGGGCGTGTTGCTACAGGCAGATGAAATATGATCCGAGAAGATAACTCTGCAGGAGGGGGGCGCTGTTCTACCGAGCAGATTTCCCAACAACAGCAGATGGAAAAGGGGTGACTGACTTATGGTGAAAAACTTTTTTCCTTCCATTGTTGCTGTGAAAAAGTTTGTTGTTCCCAGGTTATTGAGGAAATGTTTCAGTTTCCTTTCTGTGTCTCTGTGGGTTTTAGAAAACAGCATATCATGGATAAATAAATTCATTTGAGTTTTAATCTGCAAGAATCTACTTCATTGTTTAAGCTGAGTCATGTCGGCTGTTACTGCCTCCTTTAATTCTGTTCACTTCATTTTAAAGAACCTCTTTTGCTGTTTGGCTCTTTGAGTTCGATGCAACGGTTTGTTCATACGTGTTCTCAGTCTCCCTGCTTCTCTATTGTTTCCCCCACAAGGAGGAAAGATTGGGCCTCTGTCTCTTTAGTTCGCCTCATGATTCAGGTTTTTCCTCCTTTAAGTCCTTGGTTCCAGATCCATTATATCCTTTTTTAATGTCTGTCACGTTGCAACAGATGCAGCCAGTGTGCTGCCGACGCTCTGCCAACGAGCAGAGCAGGGACGGACCACAGCCACATCTGGCGGCCTCGTAGACTCTATGTAATGATGGACGACACTTCCTCCCACCATCCAGAAATTAAGCCAAAACATCCAGAATAGGGAAGCTGCCGTCTTGTGCCAGCGACGCCATGTGCAGCCAGGGTCTGGGCGGGACGGAGCGGCTGTGTCGAGGTCTCATCTGTCAATCATGACGTCTCAGTTCATTTTTTATAACATCGAATAACTAATTAAAACCAAACTTTAGAAAACACTGGAGCTGTCAAGTCGTCCATCTTTATCTACAGTCACAGAACTTCACGTAGAGTTTTACCTTGAGCGTCTTCATCCTGGAATTTACTTCAGGGCATTGATGGGGAAATTCTGTGTTAAATTAGGATTCTAACTCTTTCGTCTTTTTTTAAATTTTTATTCCAGGTGCATTATCCAGATGTGGAAAGAGTGGAATGGCTGAATAAGGTACACACACACACACACACACACACACACACACACACACACACACACACCCTTTGTCTCTCTATCCTCACCCACTAGCTGTCTCTATAATACATCAGCCGCTGTTAGCCTGTTAGCTTTGGAGGCAGACAGGTAGTGTATAAATAGCATCTGAATCTGGAGCTCTGGTAGACCCTGACCCAGTGCTGAGAGAGAGCAGCGTGGCACTGTAGTTCCCACGACGACGACAGGCGTGCTATCCGGTTGTCGGATTTAGCTTCTTTCCCGATAAAAAAGAACTGTTGGCCTTGCCACGCAGTTACAGCAGATGATAGATGGCTTAACATATTTAACCTACAGATGCCGCTATTCCGCCTCATTGCGATGCAGCCTTATTTTAACCTACTGTCTGTGCATGCAGGGATGCGGAATATTTATTTATTTATTTATTTATTTTCGGGGGGACGTAGTCAAGGCAGGGGGCCGTTGTTGTCAAGGCGGCCGCCTTAACTATAAAGCGCTGCGGGAAACCCTGATGTATATTCCATCGATGTAGAAATCTTCTACCCCGGCTGAACAGACTGGTAGTAAGAGCCAACAGGAAGCAAACAACACACACAACAGAACCGTCCAGCTCCCTGCACCGTTTCTTATTTCATCCAAATCAATATACTGCCACATAGATCTCTGCAGTGTCTCCAACAAGTCCACGAAGCCTGCAGTGAAGAATGTATTCTTCCAGGGGTGTCAGTTGAATATCTACGAAAAAAACGTTCCCAGAATTTGATCGGTGCTTTTTTGCTTTGTCTCTTTCTCCTCTTCCTCAGACGGTGAAGCAGATGTGGCCGTTCATCTGCCAGTTTGTGGACAAGCTGTTCAGGGAGACCATCGAGCCGGCGGTGAAGGGCGCCAACCCTCATCTCAGCTCCTTCTGCTTCACCAAGATCGACATGGGCGACAAGGTGATGAGAAAACCCACCGCAGCTCCATCCCCTGATCGCTACTGAGCAGACCGTGGATCCAAATGCTCAAGATGGCGACATTTGTATCAGGGATATTTTGTCGTAGTTTCTGGAAAGTAGTTTGTTCTCAGTCTACAGAACCACCAGTTCTCACAGGACCATAAGAAAAGCCGACGTGATGGTCACTCTGATGGGTTCTCTGAAAGTTAATGCGAAAGGAAAATTATTGAAATACTGTTGTAGTTCGATGAAATCATATTTGAGAGCTGTTCACTCACTCGTACCCGTTTCCTCATGTCTTGTGTGTCCGCAGCCGCTGAGAGTGAACGGGGTGAAAGTTTACACAGAGAATGTGGACAAGAGGCAAGTCATCATGGATCTGCAAATCAGGTACACGGTGAAACCAGAGCATCTCACTCACTCATGATTTCTACAGGATAAAGCTGCTAAAATCTATATTTTTAATTGTCAACAAAATGTCTTCCTCCCCCTCTTTCTTTCTTTCTTTCTTTCTTTCTTTCTTTCTTTCTTTCTTTCTTTCTTTCACACTGTGACACTGAATGAATCCACTAACTGCATTTCTTTTATTCTCAGTTTTGTCGGAAACACAGAGATTGACGTGGACATCAAGAAGTTCTATTGCAGAGCTGGGATCAAAAGTATTCAGGTGAAACACTGCTGCTGATTTTTTTTAAGTCCCGTCCGGTAGATCTTCTTCGGCTTTTAAATAAACTCGAATGTTAAACAGAGTCATTCTCACTCACCAACAGTAACTCTGATGAAACTATMMAGCTTAGAAAGAGAGACAGTCCCTTTTTTATTGGTGGTCGCCCTCAGTTCTTTGTCCGACATATTAACCTGTGACCCCTCCAGAGACGGTTTTACATAATGTGTTGACACCGCGGCTGATAAAGGAGACGTTATCCGCTCGGCTGTTGGCAGAGGATCAGGCCATATCTGCAGTTCAGAGATCACAGAGGGAGAGAAAGTGAGTGGAGAGAAGAGTCGGAAGATTTACAGAGGGTCAACATTTGTCTTTGTGTATGGCTCAAACTTTCTAGCTGCAGTCGCGGGTTGTTTGTCGGCTTTTCATAGGCTGTTGAAGAAACGGGGGGTAAAGTTGGACGATTCCTTCCCTCGTTGCTCCTCTGGCCAAAACGACCCCGATGTACATGGTTCATTATGGTTCTCTGAGCTGGTCGCTTCCGGCTGGAGCGAGCTGCAGGAGGTCAGTGAGGATAAACAACAGGCGATTGTTTGGATAAGCAAAATGTTGGTATTTAATTACTCACAGCGAGCTACAACCAAATTTGGTGCTGCAGACGGGCAGTCCACATATCAGAGGTTTGAGTCACGGCAGCCGCTGGTCAAGCAACGAGCTCAATGATGAGACTCTGTGACGGAAAACATTCACCGTTCATTTCATTTCAAAGTTCTGCAAAGTTAAAAAGCTCAGAATTCAGCCTCTACGGATCATTTCTGGTTTTTGAGCAGCAAACAACGGATCAGATGCACTGAGCTCATAACACGACACTGAAGTTCACTGGCTGGTTTCATACTGTTGTTCTTTCTCCCCTCCAGCTTCACGGAGTGGTGCGAGTGGTGATGGAGCCGCTGCTGGGGGACATGCCTCTGATCGGCGCTCTGAGCGTCTTTTTCCTCAAGAAACCAGTGAGTACCTTGACCTCTGACCTTATGTCCACTGACAACTTTCCCGTCATCACAACAAAAATAACACAAATCATCACAATCATTCGTCATGGCCAAATCTCGTGGACTCTCGAAGTCCGCACAAAGTCCACCTGGCCCCTTGTGGGTTCCCAGGAACGCGTCCATGAGTTTGCAAGTGAAGTGAAGTCTGGACATTTGGACGTCAGGCAGTGACGCCCTCATGAGATGCACCCGCAGAGTATCTCCCCTGAAATCACACTCGATTACCCCCGATACCTCAAAACTGTTCTGGAAACAACAGCCGTCCAAACTTTGGAATGTCGTGAGAAACGTCCACTCATCACTCATAGCTTCCTGTCGAGACGTGGCTCTGCTCGATCCACCACAGTCCTCCTGCCGAGCTTCAGTCCTCCTTTATCAGCGGAGTCCTTCTCCCTGACGGCTGTCGTCTTCCTTCCTGTGCACGAACACATTTTATCTTCTAGATTTCAGCTTTGATAGCCACACCCACAGGAAAAGAGGCTCCATCAAAAGCCTCAAAAACAAATGAAATCCCTCTTCTCCCCCTGAAAGGTTTTATTTTTCAAAGTTACATTAAGTTAGCATGTTAGCATGAAGGCATTGTTGTTACAGTATCTTCTGTAAAATAAAAACGAGAACTAGAATTCAATGGACGGTCCAAGCTCCGCACTTTAAACTCAACACAGACGTTTAATTTGTCTGATGAAAACATTTTTGGCGACATTGAATGCCACGAGTTTTATTTTCATCTTGACTTCCTGTGTCTAATCTTTATCTGGGTCACCTACGTCAGACATGACACGCTGGCTCGTTTAAAAAATCACGGGTGATGAAAGACAGTTACAGTTATTGGACAGTTATATTCACCTTCCTGCATAATGTCCTGTGGTTGATGACTCACACTCTAAGACTGTTCAACTGTCCAAATATTTCGGATGCCTCAAACGAGTCCGGTGACATTGTGTTCCAGCTGTAAAAGTTATATTTGTAACCTGCGGTGACAGGAGTTGCCTGAAAGTTGCCAAAATAATTTCCTCTGTGCGGAGCTGAGTGGTGCCGTGTTACCTGGTGACATCGCATCCACAGAGCAGTCGTAGCTAATGAACTTTAATAAACATAACTTAAACATCTTTCCTGTGTGGCAACAATCTGAGGTTCGAACAGAGACAAAAACTTTCATTCTGGAGGAGCAACGTGGACGTTAGGTCAACGATATGTCAACAGATTCCAGTGGGTTGATGGAACACTGACCAGAAATCTTCCACTCGACCCTTTAAGGGCTGTGTGCTTTCACCACATTTGTTTTGTATACAAATGAGTTCCAGAGCAGAGTCCTTGGGTTTGCCCGATGACTCTGTAATTGTGAGTCTTCCGCGGGATCCATGGACGAGTCCTTTATGAATTTGTTTCCTGGACAGAAAAATTTGTAGTTATTTTTTTATCAGATTTTCTTAGTACAATAAGAACAAACTCTGCGGATGCTGATGTTATGTTAAGTCCATTTGTTCATGTGTGCAGATATTTCTGCAGTTTAATGGACCAGTTTTGCCTCGATGCTCTTCATGTGCTTCAGCTGTAATAATGGCTTCCAGTATTTGACCTTTTAAGCCTCTTTTATGACCTTTTTCAGCTTTGCGGTCGCTCTTAATCTGCGACATACTGACACACACACACACACAGTCCTTCCCTTTCTGGCTAACGCTCATGCTCAAACTTCTATATTTTCAAACACAGCCACATATACACTACGTCACCCATGACAACTGTTACCCTGCTCACGCTCCTTGTAAGGCCGGTGGATTGGTGTTATTTTGAGCTGGGCGCCTTCCCAACGTGACTCTGCTGAATTGTCTCGTGCACTGAGCGGCACAGTGTGAATGTGCGATGCCTGAACCGGACCGGCAGTTGGTGCTCGTCGGCTGCGGGGGACACTGCAGGCTGAGATACTCCCGCTCCTCTCGTCTGATTTGATTCTCACAGAGTAAACAAATCAATCAGCACTGATTGCTGCCCCACCTCAGCTCCATCCTGTTTACTGCTGGGTATTCTTCTCTGGAATGACCAGCACAGGGCGACCCCACTGGTTGTTTCTAGAGAAAATAAATCTGCGTCTCACTTTATAGCGTCAGAAAACATTTTCCTCAGGAGTTTATGTCTCGATCTCATGGGGGCGTGCAGTGTCCTTGTGCTCTCACTCAGGCTCCACCCCTTGCACCTCCAAATATGTTTACTTCTGGTTTCAAAAAACCAAAATGTTCTCCTCAGACAGTCTCAGCTGTCAATCAGGACGTTTCACCCTGTTTTTACAGCATCAAATAAAATGAACGAGCAAACGTACATTTTCCAGTTTGGTCCATGTCCCATCTGGTGACATGGAGGAGGCTGTTACCCGCTGCCAGACGGTGATCGAGACGCTTTGGGGAGCCGTCATGTCGTCCATCTTCATATACAGTCTATGGACTAGCACTGCTACTACATACACTTTGACAAGTACTACTACGACTGCACCGCCACTACTAGTGTTACTACGACCAGATGAATCATCGCTGCCTGTGCCAGCGCTTCTTTTGCTCGCGCTCATCTCGCCAGTGAGCCCGACGTTCAGTCGACACCCGGGTGTGTCAGATATGTGTGCTGTGATTCAGCCCGGTTAATTACTGCAGCGTCATCAGGAGACTTCCCCTTGTCATCCGGTTCCTCTGGTAAACCACTTTACCCTGTTTGTTCCAGTGCACCAGTGTAGAAATAAGAATCCAGGTTAAGCTCCCATTCTCGGAGAACCTTAGTTAGCGTGCCTCGTTTGTGAAATCTGGAAGTGTGCGACGAGAGCGTGTTTCTGCCTGCAGCAGTAAAAACCACGGTGGAGAGCCGGATCATCATATCTCATCACACCTACAGCTTGTCCTTTTTGAACCGCTGAAGGGTTCGACGTTAACGACTTGTCCTGAATAAAAGAATTGACAAAGTAGTTGTGCTGGTGAATTAATTTGAATCTTTTCCTTCTTTGTCATGCGAGCCAGAAGGTTACGGAGACAGTGAGATCCTGTGTCGTCGTGTGCAGGAACATCACACACACGTCGGACGAACACACTCATTAGAATAAAATCAGACTCTATTGAAGGAGAACGTCAAATATGAGCATCTGTAAACAGATGTGCAAACTTTAAATTATAGAATAATCAATGCGCGTTATTTTTACATTTTAGATTAAAATTCCTGTAATTAATTCAGGTTATATATATTTGGTTGTA